CATGTTGTTTTTATTGAAGGTGATAATGGTTCCCACGAACCATCCCTCCCAATTTCCATTGGCATCTGCTGTCTCCACGTTAACTCTTCTGTTGAGAAGCGAGCCATTCCCTGTACAGAAAATGGATTTTTAATACAATTAAAGAAAGTTAAAAAAAAAAATTCCAATCCTTTGGTTGAATGTTGTTCAAAAAATCTGATGGCCGGTTTTTTTTTTTTTTTCTGTTTCTTTATAAAAAGAACAGCCTTGAGCGGCGGAATGAAGTGGCATTATTCGAGCACATTGATTGCTAATGGTTTATCTGGGGTTTTATTGTTGGCAGTTCCCGGCGTTGAGTACTAGAGGCGCATAGTCCGTCTGGACGAGACGTCTGCTTGTACTCAATAGTAAAATCTGGGACAAGACCGTGCGGATTATACCAATTATCTGCTTTAGATTTCACCACTGTTTTTAATTATACAGTTTATACCTTTTCCAGTTTTTCTCCTCTTCTTTTTTCCAGAATCTGGGGGACCTGGAAAGTTGTAATTTTAAATTAAACAAAATTATATTTCTTATTTACGATATTTTTGTCATCATAATAATTATTAGATCTTCTATGAAGACATTTTTATTCCCTTTCGATATTTATATGCTATTTAACAATTAGATTATAAGTTCGAGATTTCTGTGGCCTCATAGAATTAGAGAGCGAATAATCTAATTGTTTTAGTAGAATTCTCTCTGAAATTTCCTTCAAATAGTGATTCCAATTATTTCTGGTGTTAGTATAAAACTTCCCGAGTCGGAGGATTCACGCAGACTGAATTAATTGAATCTAAATTTGACATTTGCAGTTGTGTACGCGCGTTTATCGGTTCCTTTCAAGAATTTCGAGCTTTTTAATTCAAGAAACCGTAAATGCCCTCCTTTTAGTCTTCCCAGGAATTTTGTTATTCATTTGTTCCTAAATTTTAATTCAAAACTTCGGAGAAACGAGGAAACGTTGCAATTTTGTGGACCACACCAAGCCACTGAACACTAATGGCTGATAGTGTGCAATGGCTCAGCCAATCAGATCACAACATGTTATGTTATTGGCTCGACTTCAAATTTCTTATGAAATACATACCCTGAGGATCATCATCTGCCACTGTAACTTCACTTCTACGCCGCCAATTCCTCTTCCTCTCCCGCCTTTTCTCTTGACTGGAGGGTGACTGGTCTCTGTATGTAGTGGAAACATTGTTCGTAGCAGCAACTTTTTTTGCTGCATAGATCTTGTCTATTCGGTACAAGTGAGTCAGTACCTCGGACAAGCTCTTTTGTGGGCCATCTTTTGGTACTGACTCCCTATTTATAGACTCCAATGGATTTGTTGTAGAAGTACAGGCCTCCCATTGCCCCTCGTTCATTAACGTGAAGGCTGCCGTGAACATTCCTATATTTTCATGAAATTAAGAAGCTGTTAAGGTTGGAATATGACTACAACTGTCACACAAGTGTAATGAAGCTCCTATACGCTGAATCTTTCGTTGCGAAATTTGGACAGTTTTTCCACTTTGGAAGACAGAAGCGGTAATTAACATGATCACGTAAGTTTTGATGGACTCAATTTTTTTTTGCTATCAAACATACCCTTCTTCGCGGCATATAAGCCTTGTTAAAGGGCAGTAGTCTCTGATATGTTATATATAAAGTGGCGTCGGCTAGTTGTCCGTAAAAAACTACGAGCTTCCTTAATTTACAAGGTACTTTATATTTGCCGGAAATAAGAAGCCTTTAAGTCCGTTAAACAAAGTGTTTCAGCATTTATTGAACACCTGGTCTAAAATAAAGAAAATAACTGATAACGTTTGCACTTACGTATATGTTTCTCCCTTGTCCACCATTCCTTCCAAGCCTTTGCCTTTTTCCAGCTGGTATTATTCAGCTCTTCAGCGACTGTTCGTAACTTTGGAGCAGTAATATATCGTATTGCGCTCGAAACTTCTTCCTCACCAGCCAGAACTTTGAATACTTTAAGGACTTCCTCCTTTGTTAACAAATCTTCTATTTTTGAAGCGAGGTGTTGGAATAAAGGTATTTCGGTTTTTCCTTTGCAAACACGATGGCTTATTCTCTTGTAGGAACGTGACCAGTGCACCTATAATTGTGGCAGATGGAGTATTTGTTACGATGACCTAGTTAGAAATTAATATTGTTGTTATTATTGTTATCTAAAAGCTATGTCCTGAAAGTTAAGATATGAAAGATCATAAAGTTGAACTGGGTAGAAAAGTGTTAAACATAAATACGCATCACAGTAATGTTCACTACTTAAACAGCCGGGAAAGTAACACTGAAAAAAGTTCGGGCTTGAACGGGATTCTAATTAACCCATGACCTCTGCGTTACCGGTGCAAATTATGTACTCCCCGTAAATCCTCGAATTAGTGCCTCTCCTCAAATAAGCTCCCTCTTCGAATAAGCGCCCCGGCTTATCGGCCAAAATTTAAAATAAGCGCCTCCCCTCCAATAAGCGCCCCCCTACGTCCTCCTGTCTTATGGAAGAGTACTGAGACAACAAAAAATGTATAGTTTTGGTCGTATTCAATCACGAGCGAGTGATTATGTACTCATTCAAGCACTGCACGTTGACGCAACGGATGGTAATGACGATCTGCTGATTTATTGCCCAAAGCTCAACCAACCTTGTGCAGCAGGCCCAGACCGGCTAAAAGGGTTACATTACATAGCTCTTAAAGAGAGACAGGATCCTTGTGAGACTTGTGAGGGACTGACATGTAAAAATATTAACAGAAATACCCAATCATATCTGAGAACGATTGAGGAAAAGTTTAATAAGCGCCCACTCGATTAAGCGCCTCCCTCGAATAAGCGCCTCCCGTCTTCTCCTAAATTTGAAATAAGTGCTTTGGGCGCTAATTCGAGGATTTACCGTATTTGGAAACAAGTGTTTATTTAACCTTGCATTCACGCAACACCTTGCTTGCCATTTGCGAGCCTAAAGGTTCTTCTAGTCCGTTAGCTTCTGCATCCGAGAAGTCAACTGTTATTCCTTCGATGTTCTGGCCATTGTTGAAATCATTATGTTGTTCGTTGACAGCAGCAAACATCTCACGGAACACCTTGCCATGGGCTTCACCATTTTGCTTGTTTAACAGGCACCGCGCTACGGGAGTCCCTGGGTAAAACAATATTTACCATCTATGACGCTTCAATGAACATTAACCATTGTTGAAGTGTCAAGGATCAGTAAAAAGGAGTCTAACCTGAAGGAGGAAACTAAAACCTTATGCCATATTATGAAGTACGCCAAGATACTCAAGTACTCACATTCCAATGTCTCCAGGTCAAACGTTACCACGTTGATCAAGTATGGCATATAACCATTTCCAGTGAATGTCAAATCTACGTTTAGATGCTCCGCTGAAGCAAACAGGCGTGACTGGTTGGGGTTCATGAAAAAGGCTGCGCGAAAGTTTCCAGAGAATATATAAGGGGCCCTCTTCATCGGGTAAGGAAGCGAGAGTGCTCTAATGTTCTGAACCATATCCGCATTGGTAGATTCGTCTGTGAAAGATAAAAAAACTCTTGTGAACGATTTGGGAAACTTCAATCGTGAAGTGGGCCCCGTGCGGCTATTTGTCATAATAAAGAATGACGTGGCTACTCTTGTAACATGGTATAACTTAACATGTCCTTATTTTACTCTGTAGCATTTCAGAAATGCAGTTCCTTGCATCTTAAACTCCAATACATACATACATTGAAAGCAGTATGAGTGTGTGTGAGGGGAGGGGGGGTGGAAGGGGGAGAGGTGCATTGGCTATTGCGTTCGCTTCCTACCAATGTGGCCCAGGTTGGATTTAGTTAGAGGAAATGTTTGATTTTGGTTCTGGTCCTTACTCTGAAGAAAGAAAACGTTTGAATGAATGAGGCTATATAGGAAACCTTTGCCAGTGATTACGTGATAATAATCTTTTTCACATGATTGTATACTAAAACACGCTGTACACATCTTGTAGAAATGGTGGTCTCGTGCTGATCAATAAGTGATTACACCTACCTGACACCATTTCTGGTTGATCCACAACCTGCTGTATTTCTTTTTCAAAATTTATGATCTTGCTCATCAAATGTATTTCACCGTCTGTACCTCCAGTACTTTTAAAAGCAAGATTCCTCACTGTTCTAATTTTATCGAGGTTGGCAGCAACGATACTTTTCTCCATTGGAACGTAAGGCATTCTATGTCCTACAAATGTAAACAAGAAGTTCTCTAAAGAGTTGATAGCCACAAATAGCTTTTACCTTACTCGTTCATTTCCAATCCATTTTCTTAAGACTTTTCTAAGACATGCAAGAACGTATTTCTACTTTTCTGCTTTGCCGCGTTGCTATGAAAATTATAGGTGCATACGACTTAAAAAAAAAATTAAACATTTTGTCAACAAGCGCTGCTTTCGTGAAAAATAGCCATTATTTATCAGTACCTTTCTGGAGCTCCTTTGCCTTTTTGGAAGGGTCTAATAAGACCGCACTTTTTAAGTCATTGACTAGAGATGATGGTAATTTTCGTGGACTTGGCTTGCCGTGGTTATGACGAGGTACCGGTTCATCAAGACTTAAAGTACCCATCCACCTTCTCCGGTCGTCAGGTTTCTTTGGCCATATGTTAACAATGTTGACAGGACACTGTTCAGACTTCTGAAGACCGTGTGAGTTGCTATGTGACTTACAACGGTTTATTCGCTGGGCTGTCGAAACAGTGTAATTGCAATCAGATGCTCCGCAAACTTTAACTCCTGCCCAAACAGATCTTCTGACTATCACTTCAGTCTTTAAGCCATCAATTTCTATTATCTGGGGTGAGGTGTGGCTTTTTGAAGAAGATAATTCACAATCATTAGTGAATATATCTATAGTGTCACTTTTGTTACGGAATTTACTAACGTCTTCACAAAATAAAAACTTTTCTGGCGAATTTCCATATCCGTGGTACACATAATCATCTTCAGAAGACATTTTTACCCAGTTGTTTTTAGATGCAAGAGCAGATCTTATAATGGGCATGTACTGCTTCCCTTTACATTTGCTTTCGCTTCTTCTTGACTTGTTAGAGGTTACGACATCACAGGGATTTTTCACAAAGACTTCAGATGGGTTTTCTAAAAACTGATGACCATTCTTGGATACTGTATACTTCCTGTATTCTTGGGCAGCCTTTAAATCTGTTTTCCGTGAATATTATGTCTGCATATCCCTTTCCAACTGCTTGACGTAGGATTTTGCTCCATACCGTACTACTTTTTTGCGTTCCTTTACCATACGTATTGGACTCAAGGGAAATAACCTTCATTTCAACATCTTTCATAGAGGAAGTACCTGAACCCCTTAGCCAATTTAAGATATACAAACAAAGATAAAACCGAAATATTTATGTCCAAAGAATATGATCGAGTACAGAAACTATAATAAATACGGTTAGCAGTTGTATGACAAGACCACAGACTCAAAGAATAACAGGCTCAAGTCAGTTGCGCCCGGGGGGGAGAGGGAAGGTAATGTAAAGCGGTTTCATGAAACCTTCAATAATTTTGAATATGCTCAGTAAAATGTTAAGGCATGCATTGTGCATATGTCTCACGTTAACTTACCTGTTTTTCACTGGTATTTTCTTGAAGCTCGTGAATCACCTCCAGCACCAACAAGAAATCATCTTTAATGTTGTAAACCAAATCAGTACTCAAATCACACGATTCGCAGCATGATTTATTGTATTCCAGAGGTCCTTCCGGATCTTCGCCGAAGCTGGYAGTGAGAAAGGCTCTCATGCACTCTCTCGTTAACTTGCAATAAATAAACCTAGGAAAYATAAATATAACCTTTAAGAAGTTGCTGATGGTCTTGACCGTGTGGTAAACTTTTTTCAACTGAGGTTATCTTTTCAAAATATAATAGCGACCGATAGATTACCTCTAGGTATTTACTTTTAATGTCTTCCTTTTCTTTCATATCTACACCTTTCAGCCAAGTAACCAACCGCTGATCATCCCGGAATTCATTACAATAGATTATACCTATATGCAAAAGGAGAAAATTCGTTGTGCGTTAGCAAGCTCAATTCAAGGGACATAATTTCGCAAGCAAATACATTGTTCTCCTAGTTTTCGTCCACACAGATTAAGGAGCTAATAATTTGAGAAAATGCGATTAAATTATTATCACCTTTTTGTGTGTCCTCCATTGCGTCCTGTCCTTCCAAATTCTTGAATCCATCCAGTTAAGGCACGAGGACAACCAATTCGGCACACCAGATTAACGTGATCATCGTGCGTGCTACCTGGTAGGCCTCCGAGGCGATAAGAAACTGACTCTCATGGCTTCTATAAAAAGATGCATCAATGAAATTCAACATGATGGTCCAAATCTGATGGCGTTCTAGTAGGCCTTTTTTAAACTTGTCTGAAAGGTGGCATTGATGTTGTGAAATGGAAAGAGTTTATGGACTGCTTAGCCTTGGAAGGCTCGAGTAAATTGCTTTTTTCCCGCTGCCAAGTTTACTCTCCTAGATATGGATTTATTTAAATATATTATTGCATTTCATAAAATACCTGAACTTAGACATGGTCTGTAACTTCTCATTTTCCTTCATTTCTTTGCCATGGTACTTGAGACAAGTCTGCTTAAGCTCCTCGACCATGCAATTGTGCGCTTCCTTAACATGTGCCACGAAGTCCATAAATATAATAGAGTACTGCCCGTCGGCCATGTTGACAATCTTTTCCAGTACTTTTTCCCATTTTGAAGGCGAGGCTAATGATGAGATGAAAAAGGATCAATCATTTATTGTAACTGCTTTATAATGGCATAAACACAAGGTGCATAAACACATAAACACATAAACACAAGGTGCATTCCAAACAAATCGTGATAACTCTGTTCTTGTTCCTTTGTTCATAGAAATATAGGTTAAAAGTCATAAGGAAATTACAACTTCTAAAACAGTAGAAGTACAGTTACTGTAAGTGAGTTACATCAACATAGCCTCATTCCCAGGGCTTTTCCCTAAGAAATTGGGAGGGGCGGGAAAAGACCCTGACATCGACTGGTCACGTGATCCCTTTTAGGAACCCTAATTTCTGCAAGTACTCTAAAATCCTCTATTTCTAATTTCCAAGGGAAAAGCCGTGGGTAGATATCAGTACACTTCTTAGTACTTAACGGTTAACCCGATTGATTATCAAGGAAATATCTATAGATACCATTTATTATGGTCACTGAATCACTTTCGGGTTTAATTGTTTTAATTGTTTAGTGCTCCTTGATCACATTGACTTACCTGTTTTGTCTGCGGGTTTATCACCGTTCAGCCCTTGGGAGGTGGCATTTACCCCTTGCTCTTCTTCGCCAAGGTCATACTCGTTAGTATTCATGTTGTCTGAAGCTGATGCTGACAATTTCTTCTTGCTGCTAGGTGTTTTCTCCGATTTAAAGTCATACTCGCCAACATATAACTTTATATTTGGCCTATTGACCGTAGACTTTATTACTACTGGATTTTTGAGATAATGTGTTACTAGCTCTTCAGATTGTTCAACTGGAAGCGTAGCCGTAAGTGGCATCACGGGTACATTTGGAAAAAGCTCGTGTAATCCTACCAATTCAGTGAAANTACTTCCTGTAAAAGCAAGTTAAAATTCGAAATAAGAACTTCAATTTGGAAACACTCTGTTTAGTCACTCCCACCTCAAGCCCGCATTCTTTGCACCAGTGCCGCAGGGATGAGCGCAAACTCCAATCTGTACAAAAACTGGCGGTGAAACAAAACCGTACGCAACCATATATATTGTTATCCTAGTGCCTACGTTAACGTTTCTCAGTATTTGTATGGTATTTTGAGCTTTTGCTTAACGCTTGCGCCATACCTTTGATCGCTCTCTGTCATTCTATAATATAAATAATAAGTATAATAATGATAATAATAATAATTAAAATATTTAGACAGGGTAAGCACTCTTTGTGGTTTCATGCAATCAAAAAGGCCTTCCATCGAATTTCAAGAACGTTTTGATGATTTTTCAGTCTTAAATGAAGAAGAAGAATGGGAAGGGGATTTAGTGGACATGGAGTAACTAAAGAAAATAAGTAATTTAGTTGGTTTCAAAGTTAGAGTTCATTTAGATAATAATTGATAGATGCATGGACGACCCCATAAATGTTGATACCTTAAGAGTTGGCTTCAGTATTAATTTATTACTTAAACGTACCTGGATTCGCCGCTCCTTTGGAATATCATGTTGCATTCATCAATAACAATCAGAGCAAGCTGGTGGCTTATTTTCAGCAAGGATCGTGCGGCACCAGTTTTGCCATCAACTCCCAAGAGGTACTCCGGCGTACAATATACCAAAATCGGGAAATCTTTATTTCCCACATTACTCATTAACCGTTTGAAGCTTTCCTTTGCACACGGTCCCGGGCCAATGTAAGCGGCCTTATGTGCCACGAGGCACAAAGAAGCTAAGTGAAGTAAGTGATACCTTTATCAATAAGTGATTTTACTTGGGACTCCATTAACGAGATTGTTGGGGAGACAACCAAGACAAACCTTTCCTTATTCATTAGCGCTGGTACTTGAGAGCAAATGCTTTTACCCGACGCTGTTGGTTGCACTTTGAGGCAGTCTTTTCCCTTGACGAAAGCACTTATTGCTTCGATCTGAAAAGGTTTTAAGTGGGTCACGCCTAACTGTGTGGCATACCCTCTCCATAGAGTTTCTTCCACCTCTTTCGTTTCTTTTTTGTTTTATTTCACTGAATTCTTTCACGGGTGGCCCTGCTTTTTCGTCGATTACTTCCGAAGTGGTTGCGTTACTCGTGTCACCGGACATCGTTGCGGCGTCCCTCTTTACTTCTTGATTATCACTGGGTAGCATTTCCTCAGCTAATATTAATAGCTCATCCATATCGCGATCATTCCAGTCACCCCATTTCAAGTCCGTAAGTATTTCTTTGTTTTCTTTTATATTAATCAAAGTCTGTCTTGTTTCTCCAGGGATACCATAGAGAAATGTACGTTTCCTTAACCAATCGCACACTAAGGAGCATTTGGAACCCTTTGTTATTCCATCATACTCTACGCTTATTACAATACCATTGCCATTTCCACCCAATTCTTGAGGAACGGAGTGAGTATCCACAATGGAAATGTACCCTTCGTTACTGGTTTTCGAAAGCTTGATTAAGGTTATTGCTAACGTCGGACAGACGTAGATGGCGGCTTCTGATTTGTCGCTTTCCATGAGACTCAATACAGCGTTTTGTAGGTATTCTTGCTGATCGTCTTTCAAAGACGGGTTATCTGGAAGCATCTCACAAGCATTAATATCGAGAGTTATAATACCTGCTTTTCTCATTACATCAGTCGCTTCCATGACGCTGTAATGAGAATCCATGTCTCTATAGCCGTTGATCTCCTTTGGCAAGTTTAGAATGGCACCTTCGGTAATATTCCTCAAGCATTCCAAGGTATCGTGCATATTTTGCTCCACCTCGGTTGCCTCTATAATCTCAATTGTTTTGAGTGCTGTAGAAAGTCCAAGGAACACGCACGCATTGCTGGCATCTTTCTCTTTCACTAGCATGTTTATTTCTTGCATCGAAGCTTCTGGGATCCTTTTGTGTTTGCGCATTGCATCGGCAGTTCTTTCTCCGGCTATCTCCAAGACATAGCCCTGGTGAACACTTAAATGTTTAATATCAAAATTGACACAGAGATTGGAGACTATATTTGAACTACTTGATGATTCTCCTTGGACTGCTTCATTACATTCAGCATTCAATATATCTTCTAGTTCTTGGACGATGTCCGAGATTACTGGTCTCTCCTTCGGATCTTAAGACCAACATTTTTCCGTTAACTCCAAGAATCGCTTTGGCATGCCATGTTCTTGCTCTGTCGGTAATTTGGGTCTTTCACCTTTTATAACGTACTGTTTGATACTTTCGATACTTAGGTGAACAGTGGTTATCTCCTCGTCCCACGGAAATCTACACTTGGTGTTACATAACTCATACATAACCATCGCAAAAGCATAAACATCATTTGCTTTATCAAGAGGTTCACAATTGCATGCCTCCGGGGACATATAAGGTATAGTTCCCACCAGCCTTTTGCTTCCTAACGTATCTAAGGAGGTAAGTCCTTGCTCAGTTTGTTTCCTCGCCTCACCGAAATCTCCAATCGGAAAAAAACAAAACAACAATGAATGAATGTCCGTCTACTGAGGCCGGAGAATATCTCTGTTTTGCCTTGTGTTGAAACCCGCCGTAAAGATCAAGAAATTACTTCATGAGAACTTAAGCCAAAATGACGCTCAAGTAGTGGCAAGTTAAGAAACTACCTTTGTAGTGCTTGCAAGTAGACGACAGTATCCAAAAAAGAAATTTCAGTGCTACAGCATGCCTTGCTATTCAGCAGTCAAATCATCGGAATTCTCGATTCGGTCTCCCAGTGAACAAGTAAAAAGCATTTAAAATAAATCTTGACTACCAAATATGATTTTCTTACCTTTACTGTTAACAAATTTTCTTCGAGCTTTACCAAGAGGTTGCTTGATTTTAGGTCACGATGAACAATTCCGTTCTGGTGAAGATGTTGCAGTCCTTTCGCGGCATCCAGCACAATTTTAACTCTTACACAGCTTTCAATGACCTCGTCTGCACATTCATCCAGATACTCTCTCACGTTGTTTACTTTACATTCCAAGTCGTTGTTCAATGCCACTCCCATCTGTTCCATAACGATAGTTTTTTCGTCAAGGCAAGTGCCATAATACTTGATTACGTTAGGATGCTGTAGTTTTGACAAATTCTCGGCCTCACTTTCGACTTGCTTTCTGCATCGGGAAGACATCCTGGAAACACGGTACTTTTTAAGAGCCACTGGTATGGACTCTGCGCCGCGTTTTAATGAACCCTCATAAACGGTGGACTTCCCCCCTTCGCCTATCACTTTCCCGAATGTTATTTCCGAAGAGAATATTTTACAGTCACCACTTCCTCCTGCTCTCAAGGCATCTTGCCGCTTTACACGCGTTTGTTGCCGCGCATCTCTCTGTGGTAACTTAAATAAAAATAAAAATAAAACAAATAAATAAAACAATTAGCTGGGAACGCCTCCATTAAGGGCACATCTTCTCTAAGGAGACACAAAAGGTTATCCCAGGGGGGGGGGGGGGAATATTTCTTAACCAATTGCTGTTTATGGATGTTAGTGGATTTCATGACCTTTTAAATTAATGGCTTCGTTTTAAGACACGTAAACAGGCCTTTGTGAATCAGTGGTTATTTATAATTGCCATAATTGCTTTACCTAAATTAGTCAACTGTCGTTTCTTGAGAGGGAACCTAAGGTCACAAGCCCCACGGTTTTTATTAGGTTCCCTCGCCATTTTTTTTCCTATAATTTCATATATAAATGTTAGTTTTGTATCTTCATTGTAATCTTGCACACTTATTATTATTTTTTTAATCGTTGTACTATAATTCTATTTTTGCTTGTGTGGCAAATCAATAAAAT